TTAGGATATGAAAATAAACAATGCGATACGCGAAGTATTTATCAATCGGTTTGCCTGGCTTCTCTATTCATATGAACATTTCGTGATCAGTGGTGCATGCCAGGATCTGGAGGCCTACTTCGCCAGCCGAGATTCTGTCGTTAATTTTGATAAGGCAGCGTTCCTCTCCGATCAGCCCAATAGCAATCTTCCATTTTTAGCTGCATTCCTCGAAACTCAGGTGTGTTTGGATTTTTTGCGAAACGAGAATGTAAAGAATTGTTTTCATTGGTATTCAACACTATTCCCGATACTTTTCTTGCATCTTGGCTTTATTTTCTGCAGTTCGCCTACTCCTCCCCAACGATAGTAGCCGTCGTACGTGAAAAGTAGTCTGTCAGAACTTATTTAAAAAAAAAGTTTTCAGGAGCCTTGTTTTTTTTTGGATATGTCGCACAAAGAAATGTCCGCGGGGTCGTCCGCTCTCTTCTGCATAAGTAGAATATTCTTCTTCCAGATGTTTACCTCATTCGTGGACTCAAAAATTGTTTCGCAGTGGGAAACACCGGACGAAAATCTGCAAATCTTTGATTCGCGGATTCAAGCTCTGCGAACCAAATATGGCCTGCAAATGGTGCGCACTCCTACTTACGAAAAAGCACCACCATCATTCGACTCAGGTCTCATTCTTTTTTGTCAATTTTTTTGATTTTTTTCTTTCTTTTTGGCCAACTTCTGTGACAAAATTTCGCCGCATATAATCTTCTTTTTCTGTAAAACATTTTTCGTGGTGAGAAGTGCCAGAAGTTTTTTGTGAGGGACTTATTCCTTATTGCTATCGGTTTTGTGAGCACGGCGCAGTGGCAAATAGTGCCCATGTCGAAGCTTGACCATTCCACAGCGCCAGTGGAATAACCAGCCCCTGTACATTTCGTTTGCTTGTTTTAACGATAAATTGGTACTGACATGTACCAGGGTATCACTGGCAGAATGCTCCTGAGCAGCTGTCGGATGAAGGAGGCATCAAAGATGTTGCCAGCAGAAGGTCACTGTTAGCGGGCGC